CGTGCGGGAGGGACAGACGGGACGTGGAGCCCTGGACGCATCCTGGGGGAGCCGTGACCAGCGGGGTGGGCGGGGGAGGGGAGAAGCAGGAATACGGGTGAGAACGCGGTCAGGTGCCCGAGACTGCCACCTCTGGGCCGCCTCCCCCACAGCTGGGGGTTTGAGCAGGTGGCGGGCCTGGAGGTGCGGGCTCCGAGCATCCCAGGCAGCCCGACATGGCGTCGTCGGCTCAGACGTGTCTCCGGCTCACATGTCCTGCCCCTGAGGCCCCTGGTTCCTGGAGGGAGGCCTTCCCTGCAGTCGGGGTCCCGTTGCTTCGCCCCACACCCACACGTGCCCTCTCTCTGCAGTACGCCTGCGGTGTCGAGGCCGAGGTGGTGGGCAAGCCCTCTCCGGAGTTCTTCAGGTCGGCCCTGCGGGAACTGGGCGTGGAGGCCCACCAGGTAGGTTGCCTTGCGGATGCGGATGCGGATGTGCGTGGAGGCAGCTGTGTCGGGAGGGGACCTCACACGGCGGCCTGGGGGCTTGGGGGCTCAGGCAGCCTGTGGGCCGGGCAGCCACGTGCGGACCCCCCACCACGAGAGCTGATTTGGCTGGAAACGGGGAAAAGGCAGCAAAGGAAGTCCACTGAGTATTTTATTTATTGTTTGTTTTTTAAATATATTTTTATTGACGTCAGAGAGGAAGGGAGAGGGGGGGAGAGATAGAAGCATCCATGATGAGAGAGAATCATGGATCGGCCGCCTCCTGCACGCTCCACACTGGGGATCGAGCCCGCAACCCGGGCTATGCCCTGACCGGGAATCGAACCCTGACCTCCTGGTTCCTAGGTCGACGCTCCATCGCTGAGCCACGCCGGCCGGGCTTCCTCTTGTTTTTTAAAGCAAATCCAGCCTTGCCGTTGTCGTGCCCTTTCCTAGTCTAGGATGCCTTTCAGAGAACATTTATTTTAGACACAACTGGACGATGCTCTGAAACACCCACCAGTGGCCCAGAGACACAGAAGGACGCTCAGCCTCAGGGCCAAAGTGAGGGCCCCTCGCACCCCTCAGCTGGCCGCGCGAATTCAAACAAGCAAGCGAGGGCTCCCCCTGTAGGAAGCCAGTGGGAATGTGAGACGGGGCGGCCCTCTGGGGACAGCTCCTTGGCGTCCAACAGAGAATTGCCGCGCGACCCAGCAGTCCCGCTCCGAGGATTGAAAACATGTTCCCACGAAACGCACGCGTGACTCTTCCTAGCAGCACGATTCACAGTAGCAGACGAGAAAAACAGTGCGCATTCACCGGCAGGTGAAGGGACCACGGCGCGTGGCACGCTCACACAATGGGGCAGTTCAGCGGGAGAGGAATGAGATGCGGGGAAATGCTGCATTGTGGGCGGGAACGTGCGAGTGGAAGCAGCCAGGCACAAAGGCCCGCTTTTGTATGTTCCATGATATTTGTGGGAAGTGCCCCGAAGAGTCAGGTCCACAGAAACGTCAAACAGGCCAGGGCTGTGGAGGGTGGGGGCTCGGCGTGGCCGGCTGCCTCGTGGGTGTGGGCCTCCTATTGGGGTGATGAAATGTGCGGAACTAAATGGCGGTGATGGTCACGCAGCATGGCGAATACACTTAATGCCACTGATTTGAAACTTTGAAATGGTCACATTGGTGAACCTGGTGTGTATTTTATCACAATGAACAAAAAATCTACCCCAAATCAATAGTAAATCCTTAGTATTCTCTAATATCAATCCATTTTTAAAAATATATATATTTTTTTATTGATTTCAGAGATGAAGGGGGAGAGAGAGAGAGAAACATCAATGATGAGAGAGAATCATTGATCAGCTGCCTCAAGCCTGCAACCCGGGCACGTGCCCCGACTAGGAATAGAACCGTGACCTCCTGGTTCATAGGCCGACGCCCACCACTGAGCCACGCCGGCTGAGCAACAATGCGCCTTTTCATGATACCAGTCCACACCCAGTCCCCCTGGCCACCTCAGAAGTGTGCTCTTACGCCGATTTGTTTTTGCATCAAATCCAAACAAGGTCTGTGCCTTTCTTGCATGTGGCTTTCCTCTCTTAAATCTTTTTAACTTTTATCATGAGTCGTTGCAGCTGTCGGTGCAAGGAGAGAGACTCGCATAATGAACCCTATGTCCCCATCACGGAGCTCCAGTAATGACTAACTACTAGAGCACTTTTTAAAATTGTTTTTAACTGTCCGTTGTGAAATAATTTCACATTGACAAGGAAGTTGCAAAAACAGTACAAGGAACGCCCATATGCCTGAAACCAGCTCCCAGTGCTGACGTCCGACAGGACAGTCATAAAGCGATTGACATGCACTGACTCACAACGGTTAGTTAACCCAGAGACCGTCTGCGGCCGCTGTCAGCCGTCCCACCAGTAGCTTTTTTAAAAAATGTTTTTATTGATTTTTAGAGAGAGAGGAAGGGAGAGGGAGAGAGCGATAGAAACATCAATGATGAGAGAGAATCATGGATCGGCCGCCTCCTGCACGCCCCACACTGGGGATCGAGCCCACAACCCGGGCCTGTGCCCGACCGGGATTCGAACCGTGACCTCCTGGTTCACAGGTTAACTAACACTCAGCCACTGAGCCACACTGGCCGGGCGGCTGTGGCATTTTTGAACAGCACTGGCCAGTTACTGTGTAAACTCGCGGGAGTTCGACATGCGTGGTGTAGACTGTCCCTCCGTTGGTTTGTGCTGATGTCTCCTCGGGATTTAGGCGGCGCGTGTTGGGCAGGAATCTCGCAGAAGCAATGCCCTCTGGGACGTCCCGTCGGGCGGCGGGGGAGGGCCCCTGCCCCGTTATTGGTGATGTTCTCTTGGGTCCTCACTGGAGGTGGTGTCTCCAGGTTCTCCACCGAAAAGCTACTGTGTGTCTCTGTCCCTCATCAGTACCTTGTGGGGAAGAGCTTGACACTGTAATGTCCTCTTCCTGTCCTTCTCCTCCCGCCTGACGTGAGCATCCACGGCCCCCTCGCCTGACGCAGCTGCCCCTGTGCGTCCGCCCGGCAACGCGCTCCGTCTGTTGAGCGACTGGACTTTACTGTAAGGAGGAGCCTTCCTCTTTCTCCCGTTTACGTATTTGTTCCAACGTGGACTCGGAATATTGTTGTATTTCACGAGTGACCGGCCGTTTCTCCCGTTACGGAGTCTGTTGCTCAGCTTGTCCTGTGTTTGGCTGTCAGACCCCTTTCAAGGTGAACAGCCTCCGGGCTCCTCTGTACCCCACCCTCACCTCCCCCCGACATTATTTTGAATCAAACCCCGGAAATCGTGTCACTTCATCTGTAAATATTTCCGTGTCTCCAAAAGGCAGGGATTCTTTTTATAGAAACACAGATAATGCCACCGCCACATCCAGGGATGCCGACGATCCTTCCTAAATGCCATCCGATACCCGCCACTGTTCCCATTCCCCCGATGGTCTGAGGCGGGTGTGGCTTACAGGTTGTTTGAATCCGGAGTCAAAGGAGGGCCTTGCATTGTGATTGGTCAGTGTGATTCTTTTTGTTTGTTGTTTTTTTGTTTTCCTAATCCTCACCCGAGGATACTTTTTCATTGATTTTTAAAGAGTGGAAGGGAGCGGGAGAGACAGAGAGAGAGAAACATCCATGTGAAAGAGGCACATCCATGGGCTGCCTCCCGCACGCACCCTGACCAGGGCCGGAGATCTGGCCTGCAAGTGAGATACGTGCCCTTGACCAGAATTGAACCCGGGACCCTTCGGTCCACAGGCCCCAGGCACGGCGCTCTGTCCACTGAGCCACACCGGCTCGGGCTGGTCAGCGGGATCCTCAGTGCTTTTTGAATCCGTCACTTCCTGTGTTTTCCTCCTGAGGTTGTGGAGAGAAGCTGGCGCGTCCACGCCCTCGACGGAGTCCTCCCCTGTGCCCTCCGCCCTGTCTTCTGGGTGGTGGTGGGGTCTCGACGCCTGGTCAGGGGCTGGTTCCGTTTTGCGACGACTGCTCTCTCGGGGGCGGGGGCTTCCGGAAGCTCGTCAGCACTGAGCGGCCACCTGCCGGCACCAGGAGGGCAGAGGCCCCGGGTGGCGCACTCACAGGAGGGACGAGGGAACCTGCTTTTAGAGCCCAGACCAGAAAGGCCACTGCTGGGCTGTGACTGCCCACTGCCCGCAGCTCCTGGAACCACCGCGGGCCGGCTGGGCTGCGTCCTCCCTCCCGCACGGAGGCCGAGGGGGCGGCGCTGACAGGTGCTGCTTTATTTCCCCCGACGGCGCACCTCCTGACCTCTATCTTCTCACCAATGATTTTCTAAATCCTCAGCGATTGGGTAGTAATTGCTGCTCCGCGTGCGATGATTGCCCTTCACCGCCAGGAACGCTGTGAAATCCCCAGGGCCGCGCGCTTGCTATTCGGGCTGCACGCTGTCCAGACAGA